CTGACTGCTTGTTCTAGAGGAACCACTTTGTGACTCTGATGGAGAGAAAACTCACAGACTGGACACACAGCTCTCTGATCATCTTTACAGAAGGATTTAGGGTCTTCTTGGTGTTCACTGCAGACCACTATCAACTGATTTTCTCCTTTTTCCGTCTCTGATGGTCCAGATATCTGTCTTCCAGCAAAAGAATCTGCCAGTTCCTTTATTCCAAAATTCACTAATGGATTATCCTTGGAAGATTTTCTTTTACAGATGGGACAGCTCCTGCTATTTGTTTGTTCCCAGAATTGCTGCAGGCAGCTTGAACAGAAGTTGTGGTTGCAGCTCAGAGACGCAGGATCTCGGAAAGTCTCTGAACAAACATGGCAGCTCAGGAAGTTTTCCAGGTTGTTAAAGATCCTCTCCATTTTTGTAGAAGTCCTTTAGTATCTGAACTCACAGTCAACTTCTCTTCTCCTCTTTTCTGAAGCTTTTAACACTCGTTTTTCACCCTTGTGCTCCAACTCTGTGTTTCATCTAAGTTTAGCTACCTGAATAATATTTTCATTCTCCTCTCAGAGGTTTTTCCAGTCAGACAGGTTTGTTCTAACTCTTCCAGTTGAACTTGTACTTTTTACAGTCAGTGAATATTTGTGCCATATTTTAATGATCTGATATTTTTATTGCTAATATTAAAAATATACAGGATTTATTTTTGTTGTTGTTAGAAATTATGTTGATTTATGATGTGATGGAAACCAAAGTCAAATTTCTGCTTGTCCACAAAAATTCAACCATAAAATTTTTATTTTATGTGTTTAACATAAAATCATGTTAGAGAAATGAAATAAGCAGCATACAAATGTTTATGTATGAACAGCAGATTGTGCAAGAGCTGATTTCTTTCCAGCAGAGAGACTGACAGCCCTGGCTTCTGAGTGGTTCCTTTTTGACTTTTTCAACTTCATTGACAACAGCAAGCCTGATCTACTATTATATGCCTGTAAATGTGTGCATTTTCACCTTGAATGAAAATAAGTTAAATTTAGGCTATTTTCAATTATTACATTTAGTGTATCTCTTTATACTTTTAATTCTACAGAATCCTTTATAAGTCTTTAGCTTTATTCACCTCTGACAAGACCAATATGTCCCTTCCATTACAGTTCTTATTGCTTTATTGTTTCTGGTAAAGTTTCCTCCATATTACCTCTTTCTGTCTGTCCTTAAGGGGTCTCGCTTAATGCTATTAGTTTTCTTTGTTTCATTGATGCTTTTATGTTTTCAATTATGTGCGCAGAGATTTCTGCATGTGTGTTTGTCTCCAGCAGGTGGTGCTGTGAGGATATCTTTCACAGCTGAATGCTGTTGCCTCTCCTGCATCAGAATCCCATTTTTTCATGGAAGGAACTTCCCCAATAGTGGGTAGGATTTAACTGCAGATTAATCATACTAAAAACCCAGAATATTTATATCAATAAGAAAACGCAAAGACAACAGTTATTTGAGAACATGAACATTTGCTGACAAACATAGCTGAACTGAATGTTTAAATTTTACAAAGAACAGCTGTTATTTTTGCACTTTTTACATTTATATTTTTTAAGCAGGACTCTCCAAAGTTAGGGCATCATATACCAGATCCCATTCTCTTTAACTGCATTGTCAAGAGTAAAAATCTATTATGGGATTTTTA